TAATCTCGACGAAATTACCGTCGACCATAATTCCATTGAAAGCCTGCTGCTGCTGCTGATGATGATGATCTCCAAACGACGACGACGAGACTTGATGATGATCATGACCAAAACCATGGGAGCTACTCATCATCATCATATCATGGAAGAGTGAAGATTTACTCTCATTGTTTCCAAATCCATCATCCAATAGTATTGCTTGGTCACGCGAAGTTTCGTTGGAAATGTGAGCTTGGTGAGCTTGGTGGGATTGGTGGGTGGGTGGTTTGAGTAAATATGGGGAAGGGGAGGATTTGCTGATGGTCGCACCCATTTCCGATGCCTTCTGAAGCAAGGCAGTGGCTGACATGTGAGGGGAAGCGGTGTTTTGTTGAAGTTGGAAGTTATCAGGGAGTAGGGCAGTAGAAGAGCTGCTAGGGTTAGGGTTTTGGCCAAAAGAATAATATTGCTGGAATGAAGAAGTGGAGAATAATGGCGAGGCGGAGAGGTTCATAGTAGGGAGGCTGGCCGCTTCGCCGCCTTCTGGCAAGAATGAAAGCCACGGAGGAAGGAGCTGCTGCTGATGCTGATCCTGTTCTCTCTTGACAGCTGATTGAGCTTGGAGGCCATGGCTATGGAGTTGGGGGAGTGAGGAGAGAAGTGGGTTTATTGAGGCTGGCATTACCGATCTGGCAGCTGCAGAGCTTGTATTGTTCTCTTGTGCTAAAGCATCACAAAAGGCTCTGTGTGTGATGAAACTGTCCCTCCTGTGTGCAGAGTTACCCCATCATAAAAATAAAAAAAAACCACAAGAAAACAAAAAGAGCAAGGAAAAACCAACCATAAAAAAGTAACCTAAACAGTGTTGTCCTCTTTCTCTCTCTCTCTCTCTCTCTCTCTCTCTCTCTCTCTCTCATATGGACCTTTTTGTATTTTCGTTCTTTTTGTTTTTTGAAGACAAAAGACAGTAGCAGATGTGTGTAAGCGTGAAACACATTAAAGGTTCTTACACTAATCGCTTTATATATGTAACCCAACACAACTCATCAAAAGCTAATTACCATATGATTTTCTCTCTCCTCATTTCACAAAGGTTGTGCAGGATCAAGGTTATGGATTGTTCGGTACTAACTATTAATCTACAGTATTTGGTACTCATGAACATGTGACTCATAATTCATATGACAATGTATATCAATTGATACCCGACCAATTAATAACTCACGTATGGATATTAATTCTAAAGTATATTAATCCTAAGTTGTTGATTCTTAAAAACTAGTTAATGTAGTTATAATCTTTCTCTGGTAGTGCTATATTAATAATTAATTACCTATAATGCTCTTACCTAGAGAAAAGGGTTCCACAATCACATCTATACTCCCTTGTGCCACAGACTTTGGAGTGAGCTTTCCAGTCCGACTGAACTGCATACCGCTTTGAGCATTTCTCACACTTCCACTTTTTCTCACCGTGCTTTCTAGAGAAGTGCTTCTTGATCCCAGTCAAGTCCCCAAGAGCCCTTGATGGGTCATGGTGGACACATGTTGGTTCCGGGCACAGATACACCTTCTTCCTCACCTCCTTGCCCGTCCTTTGCTTTAGCTTCCATGGCAGATTGTGCCCTCTTCTATGAAGCTGAAGGTTTTGCTCTCTTTGAAACCCTTTGTTGCAGATCTCACACACGAATCTATTCGTTGCCATCAGTGATTTTGGAGACAAGGCTATTACTTCAGCATCCGGGTCTGCTCAAAATTAAAATTTTAATATATAAAACCAAAATTAAACAAGAAAAACCAATTAAATTAACATGCATGATATGTAAGTATATAGAAGGATGTGATTTTCTCACACCCTTTAATCCTCTTGTACACTCATGTTTATTCATAGTTGGTATTTGAATTACACAAGTCTCAAGGGACATGAATAAACAGGATGTGCAGAAAGATGTGTAGAAGGGAGAAAATAGGTGTGCAGAAGTCATATCATTTCTCTGTGTCGATGTTGGTTATTAATTAATTTTGATTTGGTGAGACCTGGGTTGCCTGGGAGATTTCTCTTCTTCTTTGGCGGTGGCGGTGCTTGCTGCTGCTGAATTTGTGCTGCGGATGGGGGATGAGGGTAGACTGTGCCAGCAGATGATGACTCATTTCTGATGCTTGAGTTAGAAGCACTTAAATCACCAGAAGCACAAGTCAGATTTGACATATTCTCATCCAGCATCAAACCTTTATTCATCATTAAAACACCCTTTACTTTAAATTATAGGATAGGATGACACCAATTGTTTGTATACAGTTTCATGAACGAATTGAGCAACAGATCTCAACTTTCACATCTGTGACAGGATTTAGATCTGACTGCAAACCCTAGTTCAGAAAAGAATTATATATATGTAAAAGAATGTGTACAGATGAATTCAGCTTCACACAAATCCCACCAATATTCTGTTTTCCCTAGCTAGCCTTCATGATTTATCTTCTCTCTACCTTCAAACCCTTCAAGAAAATTCAACCAGTAATCAAAAGACAGAATTAATAAGAAAAAAAAGGAGCTACATATAAATTAAGTTTAAAGGAAAATAAGAATCATGAACTTTTCCAGTAGCTAGCTAGCATAGAATACTAGCACCAACCTTTCTCTTGATTAAATTTATGTCTGCAAGAGCCACTTCGGTTTGCTGGTGAGAGTGGAGTTGCAGACAAACACCAAGAAAAATTCAAGAAAAAACCCTATGATAATTTGGAACAAGTAATTTTGTGTCATAAACAGAAAGCTTAATTGTAAGACATGTGTATGTCTTGCATGAGAGAGAGAGAAAGAGAAGGAGAGAGAGAGAGAGAGAGAGAGAGGGAGGGATGAGAAGGGATTCCCTTTGGAGCTCTCCACCCATCCACCACCACAGCCCAACCACAGGCTTGTTCTGACGTGCACTTTCTGTCTTTTCCTTTGTTCTCTTCCCAGTCCCTCAAATTACTTGTTTAATAATTTAATTTTATCCATCTTTTTAAAATCAATATTTGAACATACAAAACTGACGCTTTAACAATACACATGTATGATTTCACCTATATATTCAAAATGTTTCAGGCTGCCAACTAGCTAACTAAGATGTCAATTTTGTGTGTACAAATAACGTCACCATTACAAATTAAATTGCATTTTGTAAGCTTTTTAAGTTTCTTTTTATTCAAATAACCCCACCTTTCCCTTCCCATGAAAAGTAGAAATAAAGCAACCAAGTGAAAAGAGAGCTAGATTTCACACAGCACACTAGAGAGAGAGAGAGAGAGAGAGAGAGAGAGAGAGAGAGATGATAAGAAGTTGATTATGCCCTTTAACATCATGGGTAAAAGAGAAAGGAAAAATAATGCAAAACCTTTATAACTTTGATTTGTGCATCTGCAGCCACATCATTTAAATATATTAGGATGATTGGCTATTCATTCGAGCAGAGACATGCTTGTGGGAAAACAGTCCTCATTCTTATACTATCCCCCTAACCTATTATTATTTTAGTAATCCAATTCCAATATTAAAATATTATTTATAGCTTATTGCTAGCTAGTTTTATTCTGACATTTTCTTGGCCTGCAAAATGAATAGGGCAACAAATTAAGAAGGGGTATATGTTGGCCGGTCCCAAGTGCTTGCACAACACAACCCACCAGTCGTTTAATAGTTTATTTTGTGTGTGCGCGCGCGCAGCTCAGTAATATACATGTAGATGGCTAGCTAGATAACTCGTACGTTGCTATTATGTTTTCTAATCTAATATTAGGAGTGATAGGAATAGGATGATTGTGCAAATAGATTTGGGCTGACTCTAGTCGTTCCTGCTTTGTTAGTTTCACAAACATAAATAACTGGTATGTTTGTATCATGATCTATAGTTAATAATACTATGAGTGTTAAGATTATCGTACACACAAATATGAACCGATTCTAGTTGTCCCTACTTTGTTGGTTCCATAAACATGAATGACTCGTATATTAAGATTCTACTTTATAATTTACAATGTTAAGAATTCTAAGATCTTACGTAGAATAGATACATGTAGATTAATTCGAATCCTGTTGCTTTGTTAGTTCCACAAACATGAATGTAGATACATGTAGATTAACAATTTTAAGGTCAGATAGTGTCGACGTCACATTTTCCTTGGACACAGAGTTAATATAAGAACACTTTATTAGAAAGAGGAAGAAGAACAAGCTTCAAACGAATAGATATTTCTTCATTTCATGTGGGAACATACAAATTTGGATTTACAGAGTAAATTAAGATAAGTTTGTTTGCATTCATTTGTCAGTTTCAACTTCACTGTCCACTTTTTGGTAGGGGTCTTCCTTCAAGATTCTCTACATGTAATCCTGTCCCTCCTGCAGCTCTGCTGGTTTCAATTCAGACAAATAACGCGCTTCAGTTTTTACTGTTTTTGTTGGGAAAAAATGGGAAAAATTCCGAATTGGGTTTTTATCACATGGGTCGGGTTGGAGGTCAGCCTAGTAAACTTGGTGCTAAGACTTAATGGCCCTCTTAGTTCATCCAAGTTAAAAGTCCATGAAGGAAACAAATTCAAATGGGCCTTATCAATCATGGGTTAGCTTATACTTGGGCTTTGATGCCTAAGTTATGTCATGTGTATGGATTAGTTTTTGAGAGAGCGTTATTGACTCCTACTGTTTATTATTCACGTGTTAGTAGGAATAATCGATATAGTTGATATGTCATGTACAACCGACATATGATGTTTAATGAACTTTACAGTATTAAATAGTCTATCAATGTGACATCTCACTGAGAAATTACTCATATCTACGTGCACAAGCTTTTTTTTCAAGAAAGAAAGGACCACAAGCTTTCGCAAAATGCACGGTTTGTGAATGGCCAACTTGCATTTTCTTTCACGCAAATGACACACAAATTTAAACAATCTTACAAAAGTGAAACACCATCTTGTGCCTCTTTTGACTAAAATCTTCTTCTTAACTGGAAATGTCAAAGTTTTAACCGAATTGATAAACTTGTCCTCCAATCCAATGTATCCAAGACATAACTTATATTAAATGAGTATGTCGTTCTAACAACGTTTTCGTTTCATGTAAGTCTTGTTCCGATTCAATCTCTCCTTTAGTTTTTGTTTCTCTTAATTATTAAACTCTGCAGCTCTGACTCGGCATGGGACTCTAACGATGAAAGATGGGCAGCAAATGATAATAAAAAAAGCATTGCTCATCAGAGGTCAGAGCATACGTGGCAAAACAAAATTCATACTTATCAATCAATCCTGGGGTGCATGCATCCCACCTCCAAAGCGCTCGTCGATACTTCCGGAAGGTGCAGCGCGTCTTCCGTTTTCTCCAGCATCTAATAAACAGAAACAAAGAAGCAATCTTTAATTAATCATCTGATTAATCTGTTTAATCAACAATAAAGCTTTGATCTTTTGGGGAAATTGGGATTTGGGTTTAATTTAATCTCTTTGATTCATTGATTAATATATGTATTAGATGGGTAACCGGCCCCCTCAATTTCCCACCATTTCCATCTTCTTCCATTTTCCGCAGGGATAGATAGAGGAGGGGTTTCCCGCAGAGAATGAGCAAAGATGACGACGACCCAGAAGCGAAAACGTCGAAGTCACAGCCGCCGGATTGGCTGACCAACTTCCACCGTGATCTGATGGCCGGGGCGGTGATGGGCAGCGTCGTGCACACGATTGTGGCCCCAATCGAGAGAGCCAAGCTTTTGCTGCAGACCCAGGAGAGCAACCTGGCCATTCTCGGCGGTGGACGGACGAAGTTCAAGGGGATGGTGGATTGCATCGCCCGGACGGTCAGGGAAGAAGGCATCCTGTCTCTTTGGAGAGGCAATGGGAGCAGCGTCCTCCGATACTACCCTTCGGTCGCTCTCAATTTCTCCCTCAAGGTAATGTTCTTTCAGTTCTTTGATTTCTTCTGCTTTCAATATTTGGATGATTGTGTTCTGGGTTTTGGTCCCTTTGGATTGTTCTCTTAAAGGGTTGGATTTTTCTCTTAATTAGTTGGGAACTGTTTGTTGCCAATGGGTTTGATTTATCGTTGGATTGGTTAGAATCTAACCCAGTTTTAGTATGAAAAAGCGAAAAGAACAGTAAAGATGAAAGAAATAGTGTTCTTATTGGAACATTTTAAAGTTCTGTATGCAAGATTACATTTGGATTCATTTACCTTTGGCTCCATTCACTAGTATGTTACGATGAAGTACTTCGGAAACCCGTTGATATTTCATGATGACCGGTAATGCAGCTTGTTTTCGGGCTGTATGAACTTGAATAGGCTTTGTTTGCAGTTATAGGGAACAAGATTTTATTCATGAAGTTCATTAGGTGAGTGATTGAGCTTGTTAGCAAATGCAGCGTTCAAATATCTGGTTTTTTCTCAAAAGAATCCATATTGTTGCAGCGCTTCCTTTGTATACTTTACTGCTAGTTATTAGGTGGAATTTTTAAGTGGAGAAAGAAAGGAGGAGCGAGAAAAGGGGAGAACCTGATTCCGTGATTGTTATAAGCGTGTGCCTGCTAAGCAACCACTAAACCATTGCCGAGGTACTTTTTGTTGGGTTTGGAATATTACACTATGGTTTCGTTTGTTTTATGAGATAATGTTTGGAGACATCTGATTGAGAGTAAGCAGAGTGTAGATGTGGGATTTTGTTCACTAAGCATGGATGCTTCCGTTGTCTTTCTGGTTCACCTACTATAAGGATGATCTTTAGGTCACTGTTTAGCATGGTTTAATTAGTTCTGGGATCAGAATCAGCATGTCAACATTGATAGTGAAAATAATAATGGTGGAATTTCATTCCAAGAACTGAACAGCTGGTTGAACTAGTAACTGACACTCTGCAGAGTGAGCTAGATGGAACTAAAATGCACGGACCTTACAAAACCATTTGAGCGACACAGTTAAAATATTTTGAGATGCTAACACATCCATATTGGATGATGAGCAGAATGTGGGTTGTTGACAAGGATTGTACCGGGCCTTTGTTGGTAGAAATTTAATCGTCAAAACAGGTTTAGAGGAAAAAGAAAGTAGATTTTGGTTGCATTAGTTTTCAAAAGAGGAAAGAAAAGTAGAATTTTAGGTTGCATTAGTTTATAAGGAAATTAGAGAGATTGACAATAACAGGGAGGTGAAGATAGCATTGAAGAAAGAGATATCAAGGCACTAGGCCTTTTGAAAAATGTTAAAAATCATATCATGTTGACCATGCAGCCAGTGTTTGTAAGCGTCTGAAAAGGGTTGTCAACAATAACCAAGATTTATAGCAGAAAGCCTAAAAATGTGGGATTCTCTTTGATGCAGTAAATAAGAATACAAGGAAGCTGACCCCCCCCCCCCCCAAAGAAGTGGTCTCAACTTATGACACTGTAAGTGCTGCGATCTTGGATTGGAGTTTGCCGTTCCTTGTTTAGCCTGAAAAGGGAAATTAGAAAAGGAAAGTATGTCTGAAATGTAACCCAAAGAAATCATGAAGTTTAGAAGCTTAACCACACTAAACCCATCTGTCTGGATTTCTTGACCCACGTCCCCAATGCCATAGTATCTGTCTTGGTAATATTATTGTCATATGTAAAGCGAGGAAAGCAGAAAGTTCTGACACAATTGATTATAGGAGAGTAACATAGATTAAGCATTATGCCCTGATCAGATGGTATAAGTAGCATAAGTAGATATGAAAGATGTGGTTATCTTTGGATTAGTCAGTCAAGTACCTACTTGTTAAAGATTATATTTTATCCAAATATTCATTTAAATGAGTTATTTTAAATCAAAGTCGATGAATAAAGCTGCCCAACAACATTTTGAATTTAACACAATAAAGTTGATGTCTGCCGTTCTAGTTGTTACTTGCTACGGCGGTTGATGGAATAGTTCTTAAGATTTCATTATGATATCCCAGTGCATTATCCATATAACTAATTTCTGTAACAGGACCTTTATAGGAACGTATTAAGAAGTGGACACTCTCAAGATGGTCATTTTTTGGCTGGTCCATCTGCAAATTTCATGGCTGGAGCTGCTGCTGGTTGTACAACATTGATCATAATATACCCGCTTGATATTGCACATACCCGCCTGGCTGCTGACATTGGAAGAACTGAAATCCGTCAATTTCGAGGAATATACCATTTCTTGTCTACCATTCGCCAAAAGGACGGGATTCAAGGGGTTTACAGAGGGCTTCCAGCCTCCTTACAGGGAATGGTCATTCACCGGGGGCTTTACTTTGGAGGCTTTGATACGATGAAGGAAATTTTATCAGAAGACTCTCAACGTGATTTGCCATTGTGGCAGCGTTGGGCAGTGGCTCAGGCAGTCACAACCTCAGCTGGGTTGTTGTCATATCCACTTGATACAGTTCGGAGGCGGATGATGATGCAGTCTGGACTGGAACAGCGGATGTACAATAACACTTTGGACTGCTGGAGGAAGATATATAGGAGAGAAGGGGTGACTTCATTTTATCGTGGTGCAGTTTCGAATGTGTTTAGGAGTACCGGCGCTGCTGCCATCTTGGTTTTGTACGATGAGGTCAAGAAGTTCATGAATTGGGGTGGTTTATAGCACGAAACCACTTTTCCCGTCGCTTCACTCTTAACAAAAGATTAGAGATTAGGACTAGAACGACAGCAAAATGGGAAACTACAGCAGGAAATATTTTGTAGAGTGCAGATGAGTTCGATATTGTCATTTTTTAACACGCAGTGATGACATTCATCTTTGCCACCTAAGCTTTTTGAGGCTCTGGCAATTTACTCACTGATTTTTTTTGTTTTTTTTTTTGTTGAAAAAATAGAAGGGTGGGAATGTTGGCAAACGTCTAGATCCGAAAGTATTTTGACATCATCAACTTTTCTTGTTGTTGCCTTCTCACATTTTTATTGCGAATATCCATAAAGACAATCAGCATATGCTCTACTTGATGCCTCATGGCCGTCGTACATGAGCGTTTAATCTCATATTGAGATTCCGACTCATTAACGGTTTTTGTACATGAGCGTTTAATCTCACAATGAGATCCAAACTCATTAACGATTTTCAATGACTAGCAGTTATTCATTAAGTAAAACTCACAAGCTCGAACTTTTTGTGCTCATTTCCTTGTGATTCCCTTGCAATGAGTGTACTTCCTTTTGATGTTTAATGAAATCAGATGAAAGATTTCGATAAATTATTAAAATGATAATTAAGAACTAATTAGTAGGTAATGCCTGATGTTGGCGTCACCACTCACTAAACTATCTGGTGGAGGCTTTACCTTTGGGTGAGTATACAGTATGAAGCTTGCTCAGTGGGCCTCTCCAAAACAGATTTTCTGTTTATTTTGATATTATTTGACTTTGAATCAGAATTTTATATCACCAATTCATTTATTTTATGCATCTTTAACTTCTTTTAAAAAATCGTCACTTATTACTACGGTCTAAATGTATTCTTCTTCATTTATGAGAAATCTTAAATTCGATTCTTGCCAAAGGCAAATTTGAACCACATTCATTGATAGCTCATTATGAGGCTTAACTCATCTCCTAGATAATATTGTTTGTTAAAAAAAAAAAAATTTAGTACATCGATATTTTTACACTAGATTGAGGGTTTAGGAAATGAAGTCGAAACATAAAGAAAAAAAACTTATATACAGGCACCCAATTGATTTCAAAGTAAACTTTAGAGTCACACTACCACATTTTGTTTAGGTTCATATATGATTATCGTTAATTATATTCAGTGTGAAAGTTATCATAGTTATAGAGACGCACCGAAGTTTTTTTGAGTGCAAGTATGACATCACAATTACAAAAAAATGAAAGGCAATTAGCATAAATTATCAATTTTGGACATTGGTTACATAAATGATCGGTGTTCATTATTTCGTCATTTTATCATCATTACGTGTTATTATATCATCGTTGAATCATCAATATACAATTAATATATCGTTATTGCTAAAAATAATTATTCAAGTAACTGGAATTTTAAAAATTAATCATTCCTGCTAATTGTCGAAAAATGAATCATAAAACTAAAGTGTTGCACTAAACTGGCTTTTGCCACTTTAAACTAGGGCAAAGTGTAACGTAATACCCTACCAACAAGGAACCATCAGTGTATGTTGCCCAATAATTCCATTAAAAACTTAGGAAAACTAACGAAATGTCCAAAAAAAAAATTCCTTTTAATGAAAAGCCTTTTTTAAAGATATAGTAATAGTACCATGAAAATGTTTAAATATGATTTTTCGTTAAAAGTAAATAGTACCGAAAATATTTTGTTAAAACTCTCTAAAAACTTATGTTTATAATTTTTTTTCTCTCATATATTTCAAGAAATGCTATGGAGAATTTTTTAAAAGTGAAATTCTACATACTAGCAACCTCTTTTTTTTTTTTCACAATATTTTTAAATTTTGACATAAAAATTGACGACAAAGAGTTGAGGGTTCCCTAGCGTTCAAATTTATAAAGGGAATCACAAGGGAGATTCTTGTGACGTGAGGCTCTAAGATTCTACACGGAGGGGGGTCCAGCCATGCCAATGGAGTCAATCAAACCCACTGCATGTCTGCCACGTAGTATCAACGATTAAAAGAAGGAATAAAAGGTGGACACGCACTCTTGGACTGTGGCAATTGTGGGTTTTGTGGTAGCTAATGGCGCTGCTCTCATCACCGTCACTAATACTACTTGTCTTTTCCAAGGACAAAGGAGAAACGGGGTCCCAGGTGGGTTGATGTGACGTGGAGTTGGGTTTCTAACCCTTAATTTATCAACCGTTCAACATCTCATCATTCTTTCCTAAATTTGGAAAAGATTGACGAGGCTCCCGTGGTAACCACAAGCTCATCATCAAATTAGAATCAATTATGTTGCTTAATTATGATAATCACACGCACTTTTTGGTAATATTTTCTTGTGTTGGTGTGTTGTTAATGATTCAGAGCATCTCTAATAGGGAGATGGAAGTTTTATATTTGCCATCTCATTTTATATTTCTGAGAGCTTTATATACAAGTGTTACTCTAATAGGAGTATGTAAATTTGATATTTTATTTTATTTTCTTTCTTTGGTTGGTGGATTCACCGTCAAGTAAAGGAAGATGTGAACTTAAATTTTTGTTTATATTTTCAGTCTAAGATGGAGATTTTACATTTCAAATTCTTTTGCATCCCTTATGGAGATGCTCTTAAAACAGGTATTGATGCATCTTTTACGTATTTTCAGAATGTGCTCTCATTATCGAAATGTGAATAATGGCAATTGAAGCGATATCTTAAGTCAATCATGTCTCATCATTGTTTTAGGGTGGTGCTATCTTACACACGCATGATTTTACTTTTTACACACCTTCTTGTTGATTTATGATATTTGATCTTCTTAAATTCATTCAATCTGATATTCAAAAATTATAAAAGATGTATATAAAGTAAAAACAAGTGAGTATATAGCATCATATTTATTTTAACATAGCAGTGCATGATTCATTTAGAGTATTATCATTAGTGATATTTATAGGGAATTGTTATTGACACTCCAAACTTTCTATATTTAGAAAGAAAAATACACTTATGAGGAGTGTAAAATGAGATTTTTAAAGTGCTAATAACACTTATCTATTTATATTGTATAAAAGTCTCTCTCTTTGCCTTGTAAGGAGAGAGAAAATATCATTTTGCCTTGGTTTTCACTATAAAGCAGTTCTACCCCTTCGAGCAATAATTGCTCAGGTAATTGGGCAATAGGCAATTATTGCTTTAGCGATAGTGATTGACTGAGTGCATCTTCATCCCTTTAAATGTATCGTCTAAGCAATTGGTATTAAAAAAAATTATTTTCTCTATTTGATTGACGATGACAAGTGGGAATCAATGGCAAGCTAGGGCGATGAGGAGTCCCTAGAAGAGGAACAATGGCGGGCTACGGCGAATTTGGATATTTATTGTGGCTGACGTCAACATGTCATCAGATCTAACTCGAGCACACGCGGTTGGGCAAGAATTGCCAAACTAGGTAGTCCGACACAATTGAGCTCACCAATTGCCTGACTTTTTCATCTAGGTTGTGATACTCTTTTTTTTTTTTTTTGGGGCAATAATTTGCAATTGGGTATTCGGAGGAACTGCTCTTAAAGAATTCTCAAAATAGCTCTAAATTCAATGTCGGTACAAAATCACATTGTAAAAGGGAATATTAAGAGAATACGCATTATAAACTAATGTAACAATATGCTAAGCAAAATACAAACAATTTTTTTTTCTTCTAATAATGTGTACTCTCTTTGTATGCAATCGTAGATGTAGCTGCTAGATTGACGAATTCACTCATCTTAATCTCTTACGATGCTTTCAAGAAGTTGGGTTCGTAACAAAATGTAAAAAAATCACGATTGTGTGATATCTACTTGCAACTATTATAATCTAAATTTAAATGCAATTTTATAGCATATAATTGCATGGTAACAAAGGATTCGGTACGTATGCTGAGCTAAATAGGTATTTATTATGATGTGTGCAGTGATGGTGAAATGGGTTGTCGGGTGGTTGAAGAAGCAACCACGCCATATGACACCGCCAAATTGAACACGGCCTCGTGCATGGTGACAAACTATCATTTGTCCTTGCCTTCGATCTCAGGTGAAATTTAGCTGTCTTTTTTTTCTTCTCTTTTCTCGAACAAGCGATATTTTAGAAGCGAAAGAATTGAACTAAAATACCAGTTTACGCTTCAATACTTTTAATGAACTGAACAACATGCGTTTTAATGTTACTTTTCCGGTTAAAGATATATTTCTTTTACTTGTTTTATCAAAATTAACATTAACTTTCCCAAGTATGTTTCATTTAGTCTTAATTAGAACAATATTTTCCCCTCTGGTTCGAGTTTGAATCTTCTTATTACAGTTTAGGTGAATCATCCAGTTACTCAAAAAGAAAAACACAAATTTCCCTAAAATTATAATTTAAAATACTGATTGCCAGAGCCTATTGTCACACTCTACAAGTAGTATAAAAATCTCTTGGTTAAGATCATGACATTGATGCCCAAAACAACAACAACTACTACGACCAGTCGTCTAGATCCTACAACTTTTCACTTGGGAACAAAAGAATATACTAAAATTCAACGGCCAGGATTGCTCAATAATCGCAAGTGAGGACCCATAAACCAAATATAAAATCTCTTGAATTAATTAACCTCCTTTTTTATCTTAAGTAAAAAAACGACAAAATTTACAATCTATAATGTTAAGAAACGACAACAATGATACAATCACATTCCATTGCCAGAGAACCCAGGACCTCAGAGTTCAGAGAGCTATGAGCTAGACAGAGATCGTGAGAGCTACATACCTAACCAGGAAGTCCACACATCGGACGGTCCTGATGCTCCAATAATTGCTAATTTATCATCAAAAGACCCCACACTGTGGGACCAGGCTACTGGCTAGAGAGAGACTGTTTAGAATCCAGATCGAAGTCGTTGAACGTGGATCAGAAGCGATCGATGTACGTAATTTAGTAAACATCTCCCGTATACGACACTGAAAGCGAGATTATATCAACTTCCTTCCGAAGGACATTATTATAACGTTATTTTAAACTAATCACGTTCGTCCATCATAACATATTTGCGTGAATACTGTCACATCGAGATCTTGTGCATCTTGTGCTGCATCCTACTACAAATCTTGAAAACAAGCTCTCTATTTCTCCTAATTTTGGAAAAATATTGACAATAATAATTAGCACATGTTCATGGCCAACAATTACAATAATAAAACTATAAAACAGAGACTGATAGAGATGGATATTTTAATTTTTGTTTTTGTTTTTTTTTTACGTAGTGGGAGGAGTAGTCATACCCAGAGGGCACCGACTTGGACGAGTTTAGGGACGAGGTGGCCG